GGGGCCACACCGAAGGCGACGCTGCCACAGCCGCCGAAGTACCAGGTGACGTCGTCGACGTCGAGATCCTCTCATCAGGTGATGAATACAGCGTGGCCTCCCACGAACTCAACACCTTCGGCGAGCGCTTCGCATCGGCCTCTAAACCGCCCGATGCTGCCACGACCCGCATCCAGCACATGGAACAGCAGCACGAGCTGCTAGCCAACACGGTGGATAACATGCAGGTGCAGCTTGCGGGCGTTCTCTCCTCCCAGGCCACACTCACGGAGCACGTTTCAGGGCTGGAACGGGGGCTTGCCACCGTCGTCACCCAGCAACAGACGGCAACCGCCGACGCCGCTGCACTGCGCGGCGACATCCAGACCCTCCTCGGGCACCTCACGGGAGGCACCATCCACCTGCCACAAGCGGCCACTCTGGAAACTAAGAAGGAGGAAGCCGCAGCGGCCGCCGAGCCCGCGGCAGCCTGCAGTTTGACCGACCAGCCAGGCCAGGCCACCCCAGGGACGGGGCCCCCAGGGGCCGACAAAGGCAAGGACAAGGGTCGGGCCACCCAGGAACCCTATTGAAGGTGCCTCAGAGAGCCCGCCTCAGCCCTCCGAGGAAGCGCCTTCAGAGGCATCGCTCCCCTCTTCGCGTCGTATCTCTTTCTTGTCACCTCATGTCTGTTTTGGCAGCAGCACGCGCAAGCTATCTGGTGTAGGGACACCCGTAGTCTTGCAGGGGGCGTGATTGTAGCAATGTACATGAGCATTCAGGGGTATTTGAGGACGTGTGCTGCCACGCAGCTTTCGGCTCATCGCTCGCGCCGCCCGCCAGGCCTCGCCATCATGTGGCGCCTTGCCTGCGGCCTGGCCCTCCCCTCGCTGGCTGGAGCACACCCGTCTTCAGGCGGTGCGCCCCAGCACGGAGGAGAGGCTTTCCTGCGACATGCGGAGCGTGGGACGCTCTTCTACCTTTACGATGACAGCATCTACAAATACGATCACAGCGCCATTTTGGACCCGATCGTGAACAGCACCGCCGCCGCTGGTCCGTGCGGCACCGGGCCGCTGGGCGCCCCCGCGAGCGCCTGGCCTGAGCAGCACCAGGGGCCCCGCCCCACGCGCTGCCCCCCTGGGACTTCGACGGCTACTACGACGTCTACGACGAGTACCAGCATGTCTCCTACGAGCACGCCCTCGTCAACTACGACACATGCATCGCAGTCGACCACCGATGTTGCCGCAGCTGAGATGACTCCTGCGTCCTCCGGCCACGCCTCGCACCGCATGCAAGTTCAGCTACGAG